ATGGTCCACCCTGTATATGTATATATATGGTATATACCATACTATAGATAAAGTTTCCATATTCTAAATTCATAATCGTCAAGAAATTGAATCACATACATGTACAGTGTATAAAACGTCATAATAAAAAATTAATATTAATACATACAATTATTTGTAAAAAAAATTTATGTTAACATTGGAAAAAAATATTCATTTGTGATATAGCGTACGTAATTCAATGCATACGTTTAATTTACATAAAGGCACACATATTTCATACGCGAGCATGTAATATACCAAAATAATTTATATTTACGTCATTTTAGAATATCCAACTTTTTGAGATTTAAAAATATCTAACATTTTTTAGTCAGAGTTTGAACGTAACGCAAACAGATGTTTTTAATTCCCAAGTATACGCTGATTAATTACAGCATTTTAAACGTTCTAAATGCCTGATTATTATTCAAAAAATTAAGGATCTCTGAGAATAGAGTACAAAATTCGAAACTCGTGTTTTCAATCTTTCAAAAATATGGAAAACATTGCTAATGTAATGTGAAATTGTAAGCAAACAGGAATACTTGTAAGAAGTATCTTTGGAATGCCTAGTTGACTGAGTGCGTTCAAGTCAACAAAGCAGCTTGCCGAGCAAATAAATATGATTATTACTTATAGAACCAACTAATCACATTCAATCGCTCGACGAGCAGGCTAACAGTTTTGTCCGGCCAAACGCGCGCATTAATATCTAAGCCTGAACGATCGCTTTGCCGATGTTCTCGCCGTGCAGCATGCTAATAAAGGCATCGAACATATTCTCGAAGCCTTTAGTTACAGTCTCACGGTAACGAAGTTTGCCCTCGCGTATCCATTGCAAATTCTGCATGATTCCTTCATTCCATCAGTCCGACCAAGTGGTTAGTAGAGCCTCTCTAAGAAAGTGGCTAGTGAAATAGAAGAATACATATATGAATCCTCAATGCACATCACGTCTTCCACGCGAACTATAACTAGTGTGTGCTTAGCTAAAATATATGAAAACATGTACTATGATGCTGCTAAGGAGAAATTTAGCAACGCTATCGATGAGTTTATTAAAGATAAATTGCTTTCACCTGACATAGATTCGAAGGTATGAATTCTGTAACTTCAGATCTTTTCTATTTATTTGAACTTCCACAAAAGAAAAGAATGTACATTCTTTAATATAGTCTCTTTGAGCAATTTGAAATATATTATCCAGCATATTGCTGGATTCACACTGCATCCGATTTGCGTCGTACGACGCTCTGCAACCAATCTGAAAACAGGATTACGATGGATTTTGCTTCGTATCATCGGAATCCTGTTTTCTGATTAATTGCGGTGCGTCGTACGACGCAAATCGGATGCAGTGAATCCAGCATTATATGATTCCCATTCGATTGGGAATTAATTTTTATAAGTAAAGCGATGTTTGCAGATAACGTGTATGATAGGAGGAATTACGAATTCTTTATTGTTAAATCACTGATGAAGACTTGGTAAGTCGAAACGTCTGAGTTGTTTTAAAAGTATACATGTGAAAAGATATATGTGATTATTATCAGTCAACTGATATCGTTCGTTATTTTAAGCCTTGAAATTATTATTTATTGAAGGTGTATAATATTAATCTTCATCGGAATGTTTGACAACAGAAATCGAAATGATTATAAACTAAACTATGTGACTCTTAACTTGAAGATTCGATACATAAATATTTACATTTTAGTGAGACGTTACATATTTCAAACTTTTTTCTTCTCTTTCTCCTTCCATCGTTCTTCCCTTTCCCTGGAAACAATTTTTCTGTTACAGTTTTCTACAATCGATATTCAGTAACACGTCGTGGTACCGTGGTATAATGGCAGGACGAAATAATTTATGGGAATATATTCAAGAGCATTTTAACGACATAGAAGAAATAGTTGAATACAACTATTGCAATGAGAAATATACAAAAGACGATATTCAATATTTAAAGTGTAGTGAGCACCTGTGTGTGGTACATGATCTACATGAAGGAACAACAATAAGAACAAATTGGAAAGATGAAAATAACGCAATATCATGGCATTTCGAAGATTTTAATGTCAATACCACGAAATGCGTAGAATGCTATAATTTAAGTTGTAAATACATATATTGTATGGAAAATCATCTGTTATTGCACCACTTGGAAACTGTGACACATACGATAGGTTTTAAAATGATAACTAATAGTACAATGCATCATTTTACAATTAAAAATGATACTATAAAGTGCAATTATTGTGTTTTTTACACAAATATATTAGATGAAATATATTAGATGAATTACAATTTCACTTAGAAAATAATCATGCCGTACAATATTTCGGAACCAACTTTCAAGAACCAACGTACCGACCAGATTAAGAAAAAAAAATTGAAGATAATGTGTAGAATGGTGAAACAAGCAGCAGAAAATGTAACAATAATATATATAAGACGAAACAAATTGGCAAAATGCTACAACTCAAGAAAGTCGAGGTAAATGTTATTAATAGTAATAGTTATTAATAGTTTTATATTTTAAATTTTTAGTATGTTCTGTTATACGCAATTATAACGTATACATTGAAATGGTATATTTTATATTTAAAAATACAAACTCTTGTTATTTTCATATTTGTTATATACTTAACGTATGTAACAAATTATATATCTTTATTGATTGATCTTTATTATATATTTTTAGTGATATAATTAATCATAATGAACAATATTTCAAACAAACCTATATCAAATTTTTAAGATATTCAAATGGATAGAACGATACGATCCATAATTGAAAAAAATTCGAGTACAAGTTCTTATCATAAAAGTACAACCTTCTCAAAATCAAAATCAACAGAGGTAAATGTTATTAATATTAATTTTTATATTTCTAAATTAAAATATTCTAGTATGTATAAATAGTATAACAAAATTAGACATTTAATATTAAAAAATACAGATTATTTAAATTTAAGAACAATATTTTACTCATACGTTATATTTAACTTTAGTATTAAATAAAATTATTTTATATTAAGTTTTGTTAATTCAAATATGTTGTCATCTATATCTTATAAATCTTATATATGCATATACTATCGATATGGTCAGTGATCGATAAATATTTTCACATATGAGTAATTGCGCAAGTATTATGAAATTTGAATGATAGCTGCGAGCTTGGACTTTCTAAAAAATATGACTAATGAGAATATTAATTTCGATTTAATAATCAAATGTGTATAAAATATATAATTTTAACATAAATATACGTATAAAATATAATCTTATTATTTTCTTTACAGTGATACAAACTTTACATTAATTAAGGCTTTTCCAATGTCTTAATTACTGTGTTTACATTTAGGCCAATTATAACAATAAGGATTTAGATCCCAATGACAAAGCTT